ATTTGGGAGCAGAAGGCTAGGGTCACATGACTTTTAGTACACACGATTCTGTAATTATTCCCCACGAGAAGAACCGTGGTGTGGTGCATTGCCCTTCTCCCCCCAGAAATGAAGCACCATGCACACACACACGTGAGGACCTATAAATATCCTGACACACAGCGGATTGTGGAGGCTGTGGGAATACTGATGATCATTACTGCTATCATAACCATCATGATACAGGATGCCAGCCTACTGCAGATTATATGTTATCATTAAAATTTACACAAAATTGAGGTGTAAAATTACAATGTGGGGCTCACACATGAATGCAAGATATACTATACCGTACCTTACATTGCCGGCAGCTGAAGTGCAATGTAAAACAAGGAATGAAGCTCCTGCAGCTGACCGTCTTCATTCGGTAAGAAATGCAAATGAGAGGTGCAAACTGCGAGGGAGGTGAGCGCTGCAGATGAAGCCAGCAGCGCACATGTCAAGGGTGCCAATCATGGTAGTGCTCTTGTTGCCCTCCGGCCATCGCTGACCTTTTGACCCTGGCCGTGGCCTAAATGTCAGGGGTCACGCATCAGGGTCAAAGGGGACCACTGCAAGACCCTGGCCAGGGATGGATCACCATGGCAACGGTACTCACTATAGGAGGAGAGATGGGGGTGGCATGCATTCTGTTTGCTATGATCATGCAAAGGGAAACACACACAAGGGTAAGCATCACATCTGTGCTTTCTTTTCCTAAAAGTCAAGCTAACCCCAAAAAGTTTCCAGTGTGCACCCACCCACCTACCTACCCACACACACACACACACACACATTCACAGCTGGACAAAACTCATGAAATCCTATATGAACACGAGGAAATCATGCTACTTAGCCACACCTACATTATGGTTTTGGCCAGCACACCAGGGCCTGGTTTTACTTTGTTTTTGTGTTTTTATGACTCATTGGGGATGCATGGCTAAATAATCGCATTGGAAATTAATTTCCATAATAAAAAATGAAAAAATGGCAATAAAAAGCAAACCTTTAGCCCAGTTAAATGTGCCTAAATATTATCTGCTACAAACATATCATGCATCACGTCTTCTTAACAGGAAAATCCGAAAAGGTTGGCGGGTTGAATAAATTCAAACTTTGCAACATCGACTTACATTAAATGGTCGAAAAGCTGCGGGAAATATTCGCTTGCACCTTGCGTCATCTAGTGGTCGGATCCGACCTCTCCCTCTGTCCTGCTGCTCGGCACCTCAGCACGGGGGAAAGAAGGGGGGAAAACCCCACTAGTCTGCTTTTGTCTCCGGGGAGCTCCGGTCGATGCCTCGTCCCACCATATGTCTGATCGCAGCTGCCAATCAACAGGTCAACGCGACCCCGGGGAGACAGACACTGGTGGGGAGAGATCAAACAGTGGACCTCGGGGATGGCAGATGCAGATGAAAAAAAAGGCAATAAAACATTGCTTCAAAGATGGCAACGGTGCACTGGGAGGCAAATTATTGTTAACAGTAATCTGCAGAATAGCGCCTCGCATTCTGATCGATTGACTATTATGGAGTCTTTGAAGCCGAAGTAACGCCGGGCTATTGTTCATAGTGGGACACAACCAGAGAAAAGTAGCTGGTTTTGGTTCAACTATAGCGCTTCCCAAGACTTAAATACTACTTACTTCTATGCAATCATGCTTTCTAATAGAGCTGCAATTTAGGCTCTCCAGCCTTTAGAGCCTATTGAGAGCTATTCAGCTGCAGTCCCACAGCCACAACTTACAGAGACAAATAATTAAGTGAATGAAGACAAAAAGCGAATACTAAATAAGCTGTTCTTAATATTGCAAGTTTGACATTTAATTGCATTTACTTGCATTTTTTTT